ATTACATATACATTACTAAGTTCTTGTTTCTTCTAATTAATCATTGTTTATGTTTATGACAACTTGGGTATGACACATGACATCTGACACGCCTACTCTCACTGACATTACCATATAAGGTCAACTGACACATGACACTGTGAGACTGCCACATTAGAAGTCACCATCATGAGGACAAATATACAAAAGATTAGATATAACAAAAGTGTTTGAAGAAACCATTAGAAAATATTTTGTTATCTTGGTCTCCTTCAATTTTATTTATTTCTTTATTACGGAAAGTGCACTGTTGACAGAATGTAGTGAGGGTATATAGTAAAAGTAACATGGTCATGTTTGGCATAATTATGGACAAGAAAAAACATAAAAAGACAGATGGTAGACTAGTAAGTGAGTGAAATGAACTGATTTCTGGATTGTATATAAATAGTACTATATACTAAACATATTCAAGTCTACACGTCTGTATATATTTTGTTGATACTATAATGGTTCTTTTCTTTTATTTCAGCAAACCAAACTAAAAATGAAAATAATATCTATATGTATTTCTGAAACTTGTGCATAACTATAAGTAAATTTAGTACAAGGGGGAGTCATCAGCAGCCTTACTATCTCTTAGAGAAAGTTGTTGCTCTCATTTGAGTGTTTGGTCTTACTAAATGACCCTGTAACCTCTTCCATTCTCTCAGTGAGTGATACAGAAAAAGATAGCGGGGGGGGGGTATTCTTGATACAAAACTTGTGTAAGAATATTAGGAACCCTGGTAAATCAGAATATGAGGAACAGTGTTAAGAGGTAGATTCGAGTGAACCCCCGCCCCCACCCCCGGGATGCAAACCTTACACATGTATCACACATATGGCACTACCACACTAGATAGAAAAAGATTATTCAAATACATGTAAAAGCAATTGATGTTTGATATGAAGTTCTTGCACTTCTAATCTTTTATACTCAAATTGATATTTTTCATAATGTTATACTGTATATGTAAGAGACAGAGATTTGTAAGGGAGGGGAATCTAGGCGTTATCTAAGTGAGAGATGGACATGATGATGTGGCCTTGTTATGGAAGGAATTTAGGACTTGAGAGCCCTTTCTGGCAGATTTAAACCTTTACAAAAAATATGACATAATCCACCTTTAATACCATTTGCTGACAAAACAACTTAATTGGACAAAGAATCAAACCCACTTGTATGAAGTTGAGAGTCAAAATCATGTACAGATTCAATAAAAAAAACTAATTCATTCAGATTTTAGAGAAAGTGTGAGAAAACTCCAATGACCGATGAACTAATTTTGGGAGGATAATCCGAAGAGGAGAATCACTTGCTGCATTTAGAAACACAATCTGGTAGTGATTTTTATAGTGTGCTGTCCAACATGCTGACCAGGGAGAGCTCAAATAGAACCAATGTTTATATTTACATGTTGATATATGTTTTATATTTTATCATTTTGAAGAGACACATTTACCCGAAAAGGTGTCACATGATAAGAAAAATACCAAGACTTGTTTCAATTCAAAAAATAGTAGTAGTATGCAGGCCGTCAAGTGTCCCGCAATTTGCGTATTTGTCACGCATTTGCTGAAGAATTTGAAGTCACGCCAGTTATTTTTGCGTGACAAAAAATGTCACGCAAATACGCATTTTACCTGGTAATTGTCAAGCAAAAATATTTCTGTAGAAAAATGTCTAAAAAAGATCGTCTACACAGCAAAAATATGAACGCCGGAAAAAATGTAAATAAAGGCATTTTCACTTCTTTTGAATATGTTTCAGGAACAGATGATGCATTTTCTAAATTAAAGGTTAATATTCCAAACACATATTTTGTTATTATTTCTTGATAAGGTCATATATCTATCTAGTTTTGCATCAAGTGTCTGAACCCCACTACCCTGAAATTAGCTAAAATGACCCCCCATCTGTCATCTATTTCCCTAAAACCTGGGGAATAGAAGAGAAAAAACATGAGCGTTTTAATGTGAGAATATCAAATGACAAAGAACCAATGTTCCTATGTAATGTCCCAAAGGATAAGTCTCTCAGCTGGCCCCTGCTTGATTAGATCATAAGCAATCAGAATCTTCAAAATGCTAGTGTTATATGATGTAGCCCTTAGACTGGCACCAAATGTATGATTTCACTTATATCTTGGAGATTGTCCACAGATGGTCAGTGATGATACACAAGCATTTCCATGTAAGGACAGCATCTTATCCCACCATAGATCACTTATCATGTTACCTTAAATCCCTGCCCCTAAATGTTAGCCCGAACGTGCGAAATAATGAGAAACCAAGCAAAATAATAGAGAAGTGAGATGTATAGGAACCAAGTAAACATGTCAAAATCCTCCAACGAAAATACCAGAAAAGTAGGAGGTTAATTAATAGAGACAAAGGTATGAAATAAACATAATTAGATTGACATTTTCTGGCTTGGCAACCTGGTTACCTGGCTATGTATATACTGCAGAACCAGGTAAAAAATTGTCAGTCATCAGACCCAGCAGCTTTCTCAAGCACTTGGAAACTAGGGTTCATTGAGGATCATACATATGTTTACAAAGTAGAACCATGGTTGAACCTGACTATTCATTAAAAGAACACATCTTGTCTTCTGGGTTGCTTGAAAAATAGACAGTCAACTTCTGGTTTTATCACTTTTGGGTTATTTCGCCTGTTCAACGCCTGTTCAGGGCTGTCTAAATTTATCCTATGGATTATACAATACAGAAAGTGTTAACTGTCATGATCTGTTACATGATCCTTGTGCTTCACTTGGTTCTCTACCTGTGCCTGCTGTTATCTTCTGGTGTCAGCTTACATAGTACACAAACTACACATCCATGAATTTATCCTATTTCTACCTGGAATTTCGATCAAGTTAGGACATCCCAAAGGTGACTTATAATGTCATGCATGATTGATTTAAAGGAAATTACAGGCATTTCATGAATTCCTAGTCTATCTTATACCAAGAGTTGGTGATATATACAGAATGACGTATCGCGACTTCAATTGTTCTGATATATTTCCATGATTGATATAAAGGCTGGAAAATATGAAACAATATTGAGCATCAATAAATAAAGCTTTCTGTTGACAAGACAATTTCTATTTCTGATTATTCATTGTAATGAAATCTGTGTCCAGTTCACATGGTCATTTGTCTTAGTTCGTAGATTCTTTACAAAGTATTTACACAAACAAAACTTTAATGCCAGATGTATAACTCATCAGGCTCAAGGAAGAAAACAAACAGGTGTTAAGATATACCATTGTTGCTAACAATAATAAAAAGAACTCATGAAACATTACATGTAACAAGCAGTTTGTGTCATATTTAATACATAAATTATAGCACTTATATTTACCATATCTGGATAATGAATAAAACATAGAACAATGTCATTAAAATACCTATAAACACTAACTGCTTGAATAGCTAAGTGACAATCATTTATCGTTGATAGTTCATTTTTTGTCCTCAATTGCTATTAATTCGCGCTGACATTCTTGATATCATGGAATTTATCCAATCGTCAAGACGTAAAAGATTGCAAGTCGGGACACCATATGTTTATCTATTATATTGCTTTTTACAGAAATACTGATAAAATATATCAATTCTCTATTTCTGGAACTTGAATGCTAAAATGAAGCACATGGAGGGAATAAAATATAATTTAAAATGTCAATTAAGTGTCATTTAATTTCTCATGCAAGCAAAGAGATTATAATCATTCACTTTTTATCTAAAAGCAATTAGTGAACTCATGATTTGAAATATTTAAGTGATATTTCTTGTTTGTTCAAACATATCTATTTTCTCATCATTCACTTAATTGTATTTTTGGCCAACTTATAGCAATGCTAATTGAATTAATATAATCTGTGTACTATCTGGCCCTTAACATGAATAATACAGCTTACCTGACAGCTGCTTTAGAAGTCAGGAAGAGTAATGGGGACATCTCAAGATTTATCCATAGTCTTACAAGTAGTTGTCACAATTCTTTTAAAGTATATTCTTCGAGTTAAATTCAATAAAGCTAATTCAAATTATATTAATAAAAACTCAATTACTCAGATCATTTTCTCATTTTGTTTGGTGAGAAATTCAACAAAAATCAATTGTTTATCGATTTGACAGAAATAAGTAGTATATGAATTGAGGGTTTGAGGTTCTCCCAGCGCCTGGTAATGTCATACCTTCTCACTATGTCCAAATTTAGCCAACCATTCCCTTTAGAGCAACACCCTAAAATGTCCCTTTGATTTCTTTTCTTTGTGAAAGCACAAAAATAATTCAAAACAAAAAGGGGAAAAACAAAACAGACCCTTACCATCATCAAAGTACAAATATATGAGGAAGTAAAATATATTTTATAATAAATGTTAAAATGAGAGAAACTCCCAACAAAATGTATAGAATACTATTAAAGGGTGAAGTCAGATACTTCGGATTAACCAATGTTATATCTGGGATTAAGATTATAGAATGACAGACAAGAGATTATTACCAAAACTTATCAGTCTTGTAAGTGAATTTAAGACTTTCCAAGCCCTGTCTATGATAAAACACCAAGGTAACACCCAATATGTTTACAATTTCTGTTAAACTTTCTGTAAAACTATTTCTTCATATAAAATGTACATATGAAAGTAATGAGGCCCTATTTCAATACAATTACTCAACTGCAGTCATTTAATGATTTTCCAAGTAAAGCTCAGAGATTTTCTTTTTTTGAATGAAGTATGTAATAGTTCTGGCACCATTATGCAGATACTCCTTCTTCCTATCAATATTACTGAATACTATGATTCCAACTGTGAAATGCCCAAAACTGGAAATCTGTATGACCACAAACGAAAATGTGACAACTGACAATATCAATTCTAGAGTTCTAGACCTACTACTTTCTTAATATTCTAAAAAAAATTGCTGATGTTGAAAATGGCCAAAATCCAATTAAGCTTACCTGTAAAATATAACCGCGGGCATAGTCCTCGTAAGACCAGCCAAACCCATGGAGCACTTGTATGACTTCATCATGTTGAAGAACACTGAATAACCGATCTAATAGGATCTTTAGTCGGATAGGCGTCGCATGAGCACCGTAAAGCATCAAACTTGCAATGTCGAATACAATGTTCGGTTGTACGATCTCAACTTGCGTACCTAAGTGGAAGCTATGACGTGGAGTCAGTTTGTCTAAAGCTGAAAGTAGAAATAAATAAATATAATTTTAATATAAATTATGCCAAAAGTGCTATTAGTTAATAAAATGAATAAAATATAAGTATAAAGTAGGACCAGTTTATAAATATTTATATTCTTTTACAAATAATAATATATTCATTTTTTGGTGATCAAACATAAAATGTAAAGGCCAGTCAATCATTTTCAACATATCAAGCTTGACAATAAAGGCCAAGCTTGAACTAATAAATAGAATGAATTAGCTAATCTTTGTTTCTTCTTAATTGCATTATATTCTGCACTATTTCAACATGAGTCTTTAACATTTAACCCATGTGTTCTGGATTTGCATACCCTGAATCCCCATCAGCTAGCCATACCATCCTCTTACTATTGCAGATGATTTTGCAATTTTGATGCTGAGAAGATCTTAGCGATTTCAAAGGTAAGTATAATAGCCTTTTAAGGGAATATGAATCTGAGCAAAACATATTAATTAATGTGACTTTCTGATTACTCATTTTGATTAGATATATTAGATGAAAGAATCGTTTTTGATTTAAAGAGTATAATAAAGTAATTTGAGCTCTTGCACAGGGCATGCTTTAATTGGTCACATTTGTTATTATCTATCAAATCATCACCAGCAGGATTTGTATCAGGTCACCACCTTTGCAATAACCTGCTTATTACAAACTTAACCAATTTATAATAAGAAATCAATAGTAAAATGGCACATATATTTTTTCAAAATCATTTATAAGACATGTACAAATGGTAAAAACCATGTTAAAAATATGCACTTTTATTATTAAATGCCATAGATCACTCCAAACCATTTGCATTGACATATTTCAATCCAACTATAATACATTTCTTAAGTGTCTTAATGGAAATAACAACAGATATTAGAAATGTCACCTTGTAATTAGATGAAGATTAAATTCAAGAAAATACAATTAACTTATAAGAAGCAGCACATTCACACATGAGCCTCATCTTAGAGTAAATACTTGAAAAAGTCGAGTTCAGGGACATATACATTTCACAGGAGGGGGAAGTGTGACAGTAGGAAAATATCATAAAACAATAGAAAATAGGCAAATCTATTCACCTATAATCATATGTATCATTTAGGATTCTGGTAGACTTTGTCCTAAAAGAACTCTGAAAGTGAGGAAGTCCAGACATGTTTAAATCATTGTAATATGGTCAACTTGAGGTCTGGATATGTTTAATTGTCACAACAGGCATCTCATCAATCATGCTGTAGAAAACATTCCACTTGAGACAGTTGATCAATCTATGATTAGGTGGACTCTTTCCTCAGATCTACCATTTATTGAAGTTTTGCGAGAAATACATAATATCCTGTAAAGCCAAGGGAGTTACAATCTGAAAGCACCTGGGGCAACATTGGAAAATAAAATACACTTCAGACTGATATATTCCAACAAATATAGCGCTTCTCATTCAATACAATTATGTCCATAAGAAAACACTCTTGCTCAGGGAGTCACTAGAGCAACATTGGAAAAGACACCATTCATGACAAATGAGAAATCAATCAGGTTTGATTGTGTTGATTGTTTTATGAATGTTGATAAGAGATAGAAAATTTCCTTTTTCTTCAAGATATAGGTCTATCAGTGTTCTGTCACTAGGCAACAACTTTATATGACTATGACAAACAAGACAAGAAAATATATTACATACTACCATAATAACACAAGTGGTCATATGTTACATACTACCATAATAACACCAGTGGTCAATTCATGTCATGTGACCAAAATAACATAGCTTGTAATAACCAATAAAAGAATGAATAACAGGTTTTGTCCGTAGCGCCTTCCTTTGTTTCATGCCATAACTTCTATGATTCACGATCGAGTGATTTATGTCCAATGCATGATTACAGTGATCATACCCGGGTACATTATTATCTACTAGTGTCACTTAATAGATGGATTTTTGAAAAAAATCAATGCTCCTCCATTGATAAACTGTTATCACTGGTTAACAAATCCATTCTGACATTTATATTTTTACACTATCTAAACTTGATCATATTTTCAAATCATAATTTGAGGTTCAATACACATGGTTAAATACGTGACAACTCCGTGCAGATGACAAACTGTCGATTGTAGTCAAACAGAACAATCATGCATATTTGAAATCGTAATACCAAATATTGCAAATATGACAGCCTAACCAAACATAGTGAAGTGACACAAGAGAGAATATTGGATTTTTGAGCATCAGCTTGTATAACAATTATGGTTTATGATCTTCAAATGAAATACTTCGGGAAATCTTAAAACAAAACACTTCTAAGAAATATGTTTCTAATGGTCTCAATTAGTTCAGACATGAAAGCAATTTCTTATTCCTTAGAAATCATATTTATAAATATCAAAATTAAAATATTGTCGTCTATTTAAAATATAACACCATGCTTGATATATCTAAATGTATTTATTACAGAAAGGTTAACTTAATCTATTATATGTCAAAAATAAATAATTGTCAACCAAATGACATCATCTGCAAGATACAACTATTGCATATTCAACAGCTTTCAATAGCAGAGTACATTGGAATCTGTCCCCATGTTGAGTCAGCGCAATCAATAAAATAAATGTCTTAGACGACTGACGCTGTGACTATTGATCCGCTATGACATCACCACACGGACAATCAATACCAAACACCAGATGCTACGCGATCTGTCCACCATCTTGAAACGACACTTCACTTAAATCAATTAAATTTCTTATTCCTTTGTTGGTTTATCATTGATTTTAGATAGAACTAATTCAAAGTAAATCTCAAACATCTTCTAAGTTTATATGACACATATGTTTCTATAGTTGAAATACTTAGTTATTCAAAAAGGATTCTCTGACATGATTATACACAATATGTTGCCACGTCGCAGCTTTTACATTTTTTGATCTGCTTTCTGAACATTTGATTCTTGTATATTTCTAATGATTTTGAATGTGGTAATTAACCTAAGGGATAACATCCTGATGTGAATATAAAGATAGGAAGACATGTCACCTTGTCATATAGGATCATAGTCATTGAAAAATAATAAAAAATAAAGCAGTGCACAATGAAATAGCTGCAAAACATTTCAAATTAGATAACAGTTTTGGTTCCATAAATAGGTTTGGATCCATGTGTCATCAATGGTTAAATGACTTATGATATATGATAACGTTTTTAATAAAGAACAGGCTGTTTAATAAGTCCTATAGATAATCTAATTCCCTGTTCCCTCAGCATAATAACTTGCCAATATTAAATGTATAACTTGACAATAGGAACACTGGGGCCAATTAACATAGCATACTTTGGATGATCATGTTTTGTCAAAGCCACAATGTGCCCATAATCTAATGACAATAGCTGATGGATGTGAGTAAAACAAATTCTCTGATAGAATAAGGCCATTGATTAAACCAATGTAAAGTACATATCCTTTGAAGAACAGGGACAATTAATAATTTGACTTATTGGTGAACAAGTGTGACTTTATGCAAGCTACTCAATTCAAATGTTACAAAAAACATTCATCAGTCTTTCACACATGCTTCACTTTGTCAAATAATTATTGAACATTGATTTGATCAAATAATAAAAGTAAGCATTACACTAATAGTTTATAGGAGGAAAAATCTGTTTCTATTGATTAAATAGAGTGTATTTCTATGATAATTGAAATACTGAACCATTTTCAATGTTCTCACATCGTGTGACATCCGTGTAGCTAGGTAAAACAATACAATCACTAGATGGCATTTTGAACATACAACTCTCTAGTAAAATGACAACAGCCTGCTTCCCTTACAGATTATTTTCAAGGTCAGAGTACATTTTTCAAATTTCTGGATCTGCTATGTTCATCTTATATTTGAGAAAACCTGTCAATGAACTTAACTCTAATTGTAATTCATTCCATGGATCGTATGACACCTAATCCTAAACAATAGAAGCATGGCTGTATTATATGTTGGTGATTCAACTTCAAGGGCATGCTTGATTTGTTTGTTCTGTTTCCGCTACAATCATATGTCATTTGTGATTAAATTACCAGTCATTTTTATTACTTTTTTAAAACAATTTCAAAATTGTGTTTGTTTTCATTTAATTATCTCATAATGCAAAAGTCATATCTACTGGCAGCATTACACTGTATACCACAATAAACCAAATCATGTTTTTTATCTTTAATTAATTTCAACCAAATCATGTAACACAGAAAAAATAAATATTTTCAACAACCTCTTTCCACATATAAATATTATCACATACCAGACATTTGCAATTTCATTCATGAAAATTAACATAAATAAATACAAAAATTCAATTGCATGATGCTGTGACAAAACCAGAGTCAATTTTGATAGGTCTAAATCCATATGTCATAAAATGATCGAAATTGAACATGTCTGATTGCCAAGATTACTGCAAATGTGACAGCTTGTGTAGTAGCATGACATGTTATGGTTTTATCATTTTGAGATTGTCATATGTTGTGCATGTAAATGATTCTGCAAACTTGCCATGTGTAGTGATAATTTGTTTTAATCTATTATAACATGTCATTAGAGGGGTTTAAGACATAGAGTGGTACCACGATAGAATCTGTATATGATTATAAAATAATTACTGAAATTCATCATTTTTATGATATACATTTCTAAACTTTTTATATGTTGGAATTATATATAAAATAGTTATGAAGAAAATAACTTGGAATTTAGGGTGAAAATCCCCAAAAGCATCCTACCAAGCCTATCTTAAAAAATTCAAAAGAAGACATTGTATGAGGGAGAGAATGGGGAAGGTAGCAACAAAAGAACTTGATATGAAATTATGAATCATACAACCTAATGTTTAAAGTTCAACTAAATGGTGTCTTTCCTGATGTCATTGTAATGTATATAGCGTGTTTCAGCGCCAAAGACAATGGCAGCAAGCAGAAATTGCATTGATTGATTGCT